TCTTATGGTTGGGTGGCAAGTGGCGTGTATTCTTGCATTTGCTATCGCACATACAGTATCGGTCATATCTATAGAACGCCATTTCAAAGTGATATTGTGTGCCACTTATGTTAATTTATTTATTTTTAAGAATTTTCAATTAAAATATAGTTCTTTCTCTAACAAAACCCATATAAACCCAAGTTGAACAATTTGTAGAAAACTACAAAAAAGTGCAATAAATTTTCATCTAAATTTTTCTGAACACACAGTTTTATAGCCCAATTAATTTTAGTCTGATAATGTGCAAGTTTCAAATGGCTAAAAGATACCGTTGATTTTATGGAATCTTTTTCGCCAAAGGTGTTGCGGTTTTCTTCCATATACAAATAAATTGAGTTTATTCATTATATGGAAGCCAATGCGACAAAAAAAATTCAAAAAAATTAACGGTAATTCGTAGCCACTTGAAATTTGCACATTATTAGACTAAAATTGCAGGGGCTAAAAAACTGTGTACTCAAAAAAATTCTAACACTTCCGAGAAAAAAGTTTGAAATTTAGGTGAAAATTTGTTGCACTTTTTTGTAGTTTTCTACAAATTGTTAAACTTGGGTTTATATGGGTTTTGTTAGAGAAAGAACTATATTTTAATTGAAAATTCTTAAAAATAAATAAATAAACATAAGTGGTACACAATATCACTTTGAAATGGCGTGCTATAGATATGACCGATACTGTATGTATAGAAATGTTGCATAAAATATTAACATGCGTTTAACTCCAGCATTATAAATTCCCTCTGAAGTGCCTGGTGTGGCCGTAGCATTACTGTAATGCTATTCAAGAATTTTCTAAGTGGTGCTCGTGATATTGAGCGACGTTCCCGTGTTATATTTACGCGCTGGCGCCTTTGGAATTTAAGGCGCTCGCACGCAAGAAAAAAAATAGACGAGAATATATGTATCTATATGTATGGGGATATATGAATATTATCTTATTTCGTGAGTTTCCATTTCTAATTATTTATTCGTTTTATATTGATGCATAAATTTAATCATTTTGAATTTCCTAATTCATTCGGGGCCAATTCGATGCCACGCAGTGTGTAAGTAATTCGGGGCTAATTCAATGCCACGCAGTGTATACTGACAGAATAATTCGCCAATATCGTAGAAAATGGGTGAAAAACATTGTGGTGGTGTTTTGTTATTAATCACTATAGCCTCCTACCCAAAAGAAAAAAAATTCCCATAATTTTTCATAATGGTGCAAAACCTCCCTAACCCGATTCCCAATAATTACGTTTAATTGAATGGTTTTATACAGAAATGCTGTCATCAAAGAGCGTAGATTACACTTTACGTTCTTTGTTGACACTTCATTGATGGGAATTGCGGCCGACGACAAGCATTTCCACAATGAACACGAGGCCAGCAGCGGGGTAAGTAGTGCAATTTGTAAATAGTATTTATTAAAAAAAAATAGAGAATTTGGTATATTCATGTATTTGAATTTTAGAATACTGAAAGATACATTCTGATTGTTGCCGCTGAGACGGCTCTGGCCAATAATACCTCACTGTCGTTTGCGATTGCAGCATCTAGTACTGAAACAAGGGCAACAAAAACAACAGCTGTCACCAGAGCAAAAGCAGCAGCAAAGACCATTGAGATGAACAATAAAGCTGCCATAATATACATATTTTTTAATATATGACCAAGGTACGTGAATTTATGCACACGTAAATTGTGAGGCAAAACCAGCAATGGTGGGTATAATTTTGGACATTTTGGGCTAAAGGCAGTAAAGTTAAAACCTCAGCTACCTACAACCGAATGGATGGTCCAAACTTCTTTTCCGCATCCGATTTGGCACAATTGCCATTGCCGTTGTAAGTCTTGCGCTGGGCAGTTTTTTATTTTGTATTATTTGGTCGCTATTATTCGAGTTTGAACGTTCTACTTCGACGCACTGTGATGAACGTAATTATTTGCCCTCCATATCAGCGGCCATAGGAAGTTATGAACCGCAAAAAACAGTTTGGCGATTGACAATATCACTGCAGTTGGTGAGGAAATTAGCAACGAAAAATAGTAAAGTAGATAAAATAATTAAATTAGTGCAAACCTTTAACAAAGAACGAAAGCAAGCATTACATATCGTTGCGAAATCCATCGCTTCAATTTAAAGGTAATATTTTGTCAATTGAACAGGCACAGGTGAAGATGTATTTACCATTGCTATACGTTTGTACGGGCGCGTTGAATGTCTTGCTGCTCAAGTGGAGTGACACTTTGGAAGGTGAATGTAGTGATGGAAAATTGCGTCGTTTCCAAAATCCGCTGGTGCAAACAGCATTCATGTTCTTAGGAGAATTTCTTTGCTTCGTCATCTACAAAATTGCGTATTTTTTTTTTTTTCTTCAGCGACGCGGGACGGGCGCTGAAGGTGAAAATATACTAACACGGGGCGAAAGAGAATTTTCCCCGATTCGCCTGTTGCGCCTGTTCGGCGGTATTGGATGCCACTGGTTCGGCTATGATGCTTACCGGCCTCTACTTAACTTATGCATCCAATTTTCAAATGCTGAGGGTGGCTGCCCTCATATTCGTTGGTATATTCGGTGCCATTCACCTCAATTAAACGCTTACTGCACGCCATTGGATGGCTATGTTCACCATCAGCTGCGGCATCGTGGTTATCATGTCCGTTGACGTGCATCGTGTTGAATATGATCGCTCTTCCTTGCCCAAATGGGACAGCAATGCAGTGTTAACCGGCAACTTACTAGTTGTTTTCGCACAAATTTTCCATGCCGCCAAATTTATTTATGATGAAAAGTATCTTAAGGGTACTGATATACCGACAATGTTAGCTACCGGCTGGCAAGGCATATTCGGTCTATTGTTCACGCTTCTGCTAGGCTTTTGCCTAAATTTCTTACCTTCACCTGTTCCGCTTAATAATAATACACGCGAGGTTTTTGACGATCTTGGCGATGTTATT